GGTCTCACTAGTGGAAATTCAGGATTTTTTAAAAATATTTCCTTGTAGAATTAAGAACTTAAAACTTGTATACTAATAAAATATGTATTATTAGCTAAGATTTTATGCTATTTTAATTTTATAACATAAACAAAAAAGTAGTTTAATAAAATTTTGAATGTAAGACACTAAAACCTTCTGTCATGCACAGTAAAAGAGTACCTGGGGCAACACGGTTAAATGATGTTGTTTAATTGGAAATAGAAATGATGTTTATTAAACAGACCTACATTTTTTGAAAGCAGTACAAAATACTGTACTTACAATGTAAATATATGCAGGCATGAGAATTCCAAAAGAGTTCATGCACAATTCTTATTGATTCATTACTTACAAGCACTTGTTCATACACATTTTTATTTTTGTTCAATAGGAATACTTGCTTAAAAAGATCCCCAAGCAATTTCTTCTTAAAGCTGTGTGCATTACAATACACAGCTACATATGAAAATTTTTAAAACAAGAAAACAGCCACACACACACACAGTCATTGTAAAACTATGGTTTTCACACATATTTCTGTGTAACTACAGTCACATACAAACTGAGTTGCAGTGTTTGTACACTACAAATTATGTGTATTTTGGGAAGGTATATCCCAACAGTAATGTAATTCTATAGTACTAATGTATAACGAGTCTAAACGAAAAACATGGTATATCATATATTCGTTTTTTTAATTTTCCAGTGCTCAAAATTCCAAGATATTGTTCTAACATTATTACTTTGAAATAAAGGAAAATATTAATTTTCTTAAACATAATATTTCTTAAGATGTTATCCAAGTTCTAAAAAGTGGAAAAATAAAACTGGGAAAACTCACATCAAACTCCAATAAAGCATCCAGCTGATTCTGAAGAGCAGGAACAGTTTTTAATAGCTGAAAATGGAGGTTTCTGTTCTTATATGACTGAATTGAAATAACTGAATGTTGTAATGAAAAACATACGCAATCTTTCTATAAAAATTTCATAATTGAAGATATTGAAAATTAAGTTTTCTTGTGTTGAAAAATATCAAAATAAAAACTGAACTAAGTAGTTTTTCAGTATTATTTACAAATAATTTTTTTTCTAACGTGTTATTTCAAAAGATTATATAAATCAATAAATAGGTTATATAAATTCTAAAAATTCTGAAGATTTCATAAGCAACAACATACTGTATCTCAAGCTGTAAAACAACTAACATACAAGAAATATAAACCTTAATGAAGTTAATTCTTTAAAGACAACTGTTTTTTACTGTAAATGAACAGTTAAAAAATTTGCGTATAAAATGACAATTTTCTGTATAAATCAGTTATTATTGTACAAATTGTACTGTTACAACGTCTATGAGCATTACCGAATAACATGCATTCAGATAAATATAATGAACTTTTATTCAAAATGGTATTTGATAATAAAGTTTTAAAAATAATTGTACATAGCATATGGCAATGAACAAACATACAAATCAAAATGATCAATCTTTAATGATTTTTTTCTTTTCAGAATAAATTTGTTGTTTACTTTTATAATACTGAACTAGGGGAAATTTGCACTTCGCAGACAAAATATTAATTTGGTCGTAGTATTTTGTACTTCAATGCACAACATTTATAAAATATAAAGGCAGTGTTGTGTATTTAAAGTAATTAAAACAGTTAAGTGATCTGCCTTGACTACTCATGTACGAGGATAAGTACATAAAGTTCAAAACGAATCTGATGCTATGGAGAGCATTTCAGTGACTGAGAGGTTAAACCTATCCCACAACACGACACTCACCAAACACCTAGAGTAAAAGACACTTTGAGCCAAATGATTTGATCAAAACTGATCAATTTAACTAGTAAGAGACACCAGATCTAGTGTTACTTTCAAAACCTAGGTATCAGGAGCAAGTATTAAAACTCTACAGCAACACCAGTACTCTAAGTGTCTATCAATAAATGGAAAAATTTACACTCAGAATCTTAACACATAAACACTGCTGTCTGAGATGGGGCTCCAAGGGATGACAGATCTGTTCCCAAAATACCATTCCCTTTGCAATGCATAGCACTATCTACGCCTACCCCTCCCTTATGCGTGTCGTGACATTGTACATACTTCCCTACTCCTAATTTCATTTTTGCATAGTTTAATGAAGTTTAAAAATCTACCCACATGCATATGCATGCTTCTCTTATAATTATACAGATATGTTAGCAGAAACCTAAGGATGAGAAATAAACCTACTTCAGTCGTAAGCTTTTGTAGCTCAGTTGATAAAGCAATGATTTGTTAGTTTACTTTCTTGGATTTTACACAAAACTACACAAGAGCCATCTGCATGTGCCATCCCTAACTTTGAATTGACAAGCTAATATGAAGGCAGCTTGTTAACATTATTCACTCCAAACTCTCAGGATACTCTTGTGAAAATGGAATGTGATTCAGGGAACCTTAGCTCCACAGTCTGTCACACTAACTACCATATCCTGTTTGACCCTAAAATAGTGTACTCAAAACACTGGTACAAGTCAATAGACTTGGATCCTTAACTCATTCAGGGCAAATTTCCTAACGTTACAGAGAATCCATATACTAACATCCAATTAATGGTCATCAAACCTTCAAAGTCATCTGGACCAAGTAATGGCAAAACAAACTATCTATTCGTATGCTTATTTCTGCAGTTATTCTGGTATTAAATACATGGTTGATGGCTGAAAAGAAATTTGTGCTGCAAGACCAAGATATTTGGGTTGTATTATGTTGTAATTGGTTGAATCATACCGAAAACTCACACACAAATTCATCAGATGGGAATGTACATATTGTAAAATTGTAACAGACAAAATGGGGAATTATCTATCTAGAACTTGAGCCTTAATACCTCAGGTGGTAGAAAATCAGTACCAGTATAGTCACATGAGCAAAGATACATTGGTCAAAGCAGAATTCATTATAGACTGATATGGGATTCTTAATTTTGTATTCTATTTCATAACCCTGTACTAAGAAGTTAGTTACAATGGAATCCTTATAATACATACATACATATAATGTGCAAGAGGATAACCCATCTTTTACGTGCATGTCTGAGCATTTTGCATGAGTAATCCAGTGTTTTGTTTTTCTATCTGCATCTACTTTCTGGAACTTCTGTTTCTATTTGAGCTGATTTGATTAATATACGTTTTGGGATTATGCTCGATTTTTGACCATCTTAGTAGACGGAATTGTTATTTTGATTTGCATTTAAAAATTGCATGGTAATTTTATTACTCTTATACTCTAGCATCATCCACAGATGTATGATCAAAATTTTTATATTGATGTTAAAAATTTCAAATTTGTTTTCAGCAAAACCTATGAAGAAATTTATATGAACTAATGATATTTTGATAATTGTATTTCAACAACAAAATAACTTTGTTATAAATTTTCATACATTAAAAAAACTACCAACATCGTTAAAAAATGCTATTGTTCAGATAAGTAAGGAAACAATTCTTCATCCTGGAGAGTTACTCAGATGATCACCTGATCACCACACTTTTGTTTAAGCTGCTAAACATATGATTTTTTAAAAGATTATAAGACATATCAACACACCTTTTCAGCATTCATGGTCCTTAATGTCCCATCTTCTTTGCTATAAGAAAAAAATATCTTAAGTAAAATTACAACTACTTTGTACTTTAAAACACAAACTCTACTTGAACATAATGGGGATACTGTATACAATGGAAGATTTTAGCAACTTACAAGTTCAACCTGGTAGAGCTTAAAAGAAAACTGAACAAGCTTATATACTCAAAAATGCATTTCATTTAAAAAATCATGAAATCTATTAGGAATTTCATACTAGTTTAAACAAGAAATCACAGCATTGACTCTTTAATACAGTAAATTCTACACAATCCAACTTTTAGCAGTATGTGAGAGATACTGCATATAATTCTTGAATTACAAGAATGTGATAGTCAAGTAGATGTACACTGTCTTTTCTTTCTATTTTTTACATTACAAAAAGCAATTTTTTAGAGTATGATAAATTGATTCTATAAAAACATTTACCCTCAAACAGAAATTACACAAATAAATGAAGAAATATTTTACTTACCCTCTTTTTACCTTACAAAAGTCAAAAGCTACAGATCTGTAAGCTACTGCTTTTTCATTGAGATATTTGGAATATCGTCGGATGAATGTAGACATATCATAACCTTTAAAAAGAATGAAAAACAGTAAATAAGAAAACAAAGAAATGGTTTGTTGCACAGAAATTTCATACCTCATTAACATACTTGTATAATGTATATCTATTAATTAACTTCACTAGGGAGTTTTTCTTTAATTTTTAAGTTTTAATTACCTATTTCTAATCATTCCAATACAAGTCTTTACACATTAAAAAGTTTAGTTTTCAGTTATAATTTTTTCTAATCATGCACAACAAGCTCCTTTCACCTGTGATATTTGAAAATAAAGTTTGAACTGCCAGAACAGACATGTAATGTTATTGAATTATTATCAAACACTAAAATATTTTATTTTTTACAAGAACTCTACAATCTCTAAATAGCAAAAAAGAGTTGCCTCAACTGAGAGTAAAAACCAGCTACTGCATATTATATACACAAATAAGTAGCTCACAAACTGTTGATTACATTAATTGTTTAAGCAATAAGCAATTAAATCAGCAATATAAAACAATAATTAATTAAATATTGCATTACCGTTATAGGTCTAGGTTGTCAACTTATTGTCATAACAGATAATGTCTGTGGTAATAGAACCCAAATGTGTTGGGGATATCCCATCTATCAGACAAAATCCAAATGCCAATGTCAATCTAGTCAGCCATCATGGAAAATCATAAAAAATCTAATAAGTGTATGAAGCCAAGTGCTAACACCCACAACGTCTCGGCTTCTACTGCCTTTCTCTGTCTATAGCTCTTAAATTTCTTAAAGAAGAAATGGAGCCACCCTAATATTTCTACTAATTATACTACCAACCTCCACCCTTACAAAAAGATATTAAATAAAGCTAAATAGAACTATACACCCTACCTTAAAAGTTCTTATATAGCTCTTACTCTTAACCTCCTCCCTTTGAAGAGAAATTTGTTTCCATTTGAATACTCACCGTTTGCTTATATATTTGTTTGTTAAAAACAATATAACTGTAATAAATACAGAAATGGAGTATATTTTTACACTGAATTCTAGTAAATTTAAATTTGGGTATAGTTATTTCATTATTTATAAAATTATCAAACAAATCATTGAAGACCCTGATCAAATCTTTGAGGTCTATTTTAATATACAATGTACCAAAATCATATGTAAAAATAGAACTGGCAGTTTTTGAAGAATTTAAACATTCCAAAACTAGAAAGTTATTTTCAATAATCCAAAAATAATTATTCTGGTTATTTTAAGACTGTGTTTTTATTTTTTCAAACAAGACATCTAGAATATTGTTAAATACTATGGAAACGGATTTAATAACTGTATTTAAAGAATTAGTAATAAAGCTGAACTTCACAGGAGTTTTATACAATTTTGGAATTGCATACAAAAAATGGTAAATTCATACAAGAATAATCTGTATGGATATTCTAATTTTAATAGCCTTCTTTGAATTAATAATAATATTGTTTTTCTTTAAAGTACTTTTAGTAAAAGTACTCGCAGTATTAATTTCATTATGTAAAATCTGTGCATATAACTTTTTAAAAACAAAACCAAAATTACAACCAGCTTTATCAATTGGGGTAATAAAAAATTGTTTTTGAATTAATTTTATTTTTAAATACACTCCATTTCTGTATTTATGACAGTTATATTGTTTTTAACAAACAAGTATAAAAGCAAATGGTGGGTATCTAAGTGGGAACAAACTTCTCTTCAAATATGACTAACCTATATCTGTTCCTTTATGAAAACTCATTTATGAAGCAGACTTTAAATCCTAACTTGTATATTTACACTTTCCATTACATAGATGGTTTAATATCTGTAAATAATATGAATTTTATATCAAACTTTATATATCCAGCAGGACTTACAATAGAAAGAAGTAATAATGATAATGAGGTCCATGCTAATTATTTAGATTTGTACATTACTTTTACAGAAGGCACAGTGCAATTAACTATTTTTGATAAAAGAAGATAATTTAATTTTCCCATTCTTGGTCTACCCATATCTAAAATTGTTATTCTGTGTATCATGTTAAAAGGTATTATTATATCTCAACTAAAACAGTTCTTCATAGTCTGTAATAACTATATTTTTTATGGATAAAACTGAAAGATAACCACTATAAAGACAGGGAATTAAAGAAATATCTTACTTTATTTTTTAATAAATACAAAAATAATTTAGAAACTAAACTATCGATTAAGAAAAATATCTTATAAAAATAAATATAAAATAAAGAGGGAGTTAGTTGCTTTAATTTATAAGTAGCTAATAGGAATTTTTTCAAGTAATTCTATTCAGTATAACCAGGACAGAAAGACTAACTTCAAGTAGCTGGGCTTGTCTCTGGGTTCCCATGTTATAAATAAATCTTCAGGAGATAGAGAGGAGGTTGGGAGTAAGAACTCTATTAGAACTTTGAAGGTAGCGTGTATAGTTCTATTTAGCTCTATTTAATATCTTATACATCTATTTAGTTCTATTTAATATATTTTTGTAAGGGTGGAGGTTGTGAGTTTAATTAGTAGAAATATTAGGGTGGCTTCATTTCTACTTCAAGAAATGTATGGGTATCTGCCTTCCCACAACTGGCTTTAGACAGTGAAAGGCAGTAGAAGCTGAGATGTTGTGGGTGTAAGCACTCAGCTTTGTAACCATATTAGATTTTTTATGATTTTCCATGACGGCTGACTAGATTACATTTGGATTTTATTACCACAGACATTATCTGTTATGACAGTAAGTTGACAACATGGACCGATAAGAGTAATGCAATATATATCAAGATAAAAATACTTGTAGAGCAACCAATTTCAAAAGTTGTTATAACTTACTTGATCTTAAGAATAAACTTTAAATTATGACAACATAAAATCTGGGATAGGTGAACTAAATTCTTCAATGATATGTTCTAGTTTTTTGTCCACAACTATGAAAAACTTAAATGTTAACTTTAACTTCAGTGCAAACATTTTTTCCTTAATTTTAGAAAAAAATTCTATTAAACTTTCAAGCCAATGTTTTGGGATATGTACAAAATGGGGTTTTGAATTTGCACTAGATACTTTTTTTTTTCCCATTGTTACTAAATTACCATTAAATCTACTCAACATTACAACAATCAAGTCCAAAGCCACTTGGGGACTATCTGCACTAACTGTCCCTCATTTTGAAGTAACAAACTAAAGGGAAGGCAGCTATTCAATACCACCAACTACCAACTCTTAGTACCTGTTACCCACAAAAAGTGGTAGTGATTGTCATATTATAATGCCTCCACTGCTGAAAAGGAGAGTATGTTTGGTGACGAGATTTAAACTCACAACCTGCAGACTGCGAGTCAAGCACCCTAACCATCAGACAATGCTAGGCCCACCATAAATCTAACCTGTGAAAGTTGGGTCAATTCAAATGTTTCTCCCTTGACCATTTGTTCTTTTTTTTAAATCAAACAACACACATTTGTCTGTAACAATGAGGTATATATATATATATATATATCTCTTAAACACTAAAACTAACTTCAATGTCATCACATGCTGATTGATGATAATACTGTATGACATTTGCTATTAAATCATTTGGCAAGGAAAGTGTATAAGCCAAATCTGATTTAAGCTTCTTACAATCAAATTGGTCTGTGGTGAACTTCACTTATCTCTAAATGATTTCATTCACAGAAGGCGAAATCAATAACACAGTTAGGAGTACAATAACTATAACGTAGATTTCACAAACTAACTTAGTGTATTGAGGATTTTTACTAGTTTCCAAGTAATTTTACACAGTAAAAAAAGCACTTTATACAAACACAAAGCAGATGCATGGTATTTCATAAAAAGAAGCAATATACTGTTTATATGCATTTCAAAATACTGTATTCTTACATGTAATAAAACAAATGTATTACTTCACCACTAGCTAGGTACTTCATAGTAATATAAACACTGATGGGAAAATATTTTACCTTGTGCCCCACTTTTATCTGTGAAGTTACTGAGTTGAAATGTACAGTTACTTGATGCAAAGTACTGGAGAAATCTCTGTAAAATAGAAAAGTTTACATAACACTTTCAGTGAAAAAGGTTACAAGCCATATAATGATGCTCATGAAACATGTTTTATCAGGCATTTTGTACAAACAAAAATTAAACTAGCAAATTGAAGACTTAACTCAAAACATAAATAAAAAATATGGTGTGTGTGTGGATGTTATTTCACTAATGCAAAATGAGTTCCTGCTCTGCTTACCGTAATTCAACACTTACAAAAACAAATATTTTCAACACTGGTGACTTTTTTTGAGAAGTTATGAAATTTGTACGATTTTTTCTGGAAAAAAAAAGGAAAATAGTAAATTTGATTTAGTTGAAATAAAGATCCATGTTCCTAATGTAAATAAAAGTTTACAACTTTGAGAATATTGAATATTCTAACAGTATAAATGCATTTAAAGAACTAAACAAACAGCCTCTTAGCTAAATATAAACTAATACTTCAACAGATCATACAATATACGAGTCATGGTTAATATCTATAGTTAAAAAAAAATCAAGATGCACAGTAGTGTCACATGCAGCCAAAACAACCTGCTGCAGGACACACTGTGTGTCACAAACAGGAGTGATAGTTACGCAATTTTCCACCTTCTGTATCTCGGACTGTGGTAATCTAAACTACCACATATTTTCAGTGGATATGCTCCAATGGACTCTTACTTCACATACCAAATTTCTAGGCAATCCATTATGAAATACCTGAGATATAACATTTCCAATTTTGATTAAGTTTCTTCCTTTTTTTTTTCTTTCTTCACACCAAAAGTACGGAAACTTTATTTCATACAAAAAATACTTAACTTTTATGAATTTTTTTTCAAATTTGGTACACTGATAGATCTTCACAACATACCATTAACAATCTCATTTGGTGTAAATATAAGCCACATGTGCAAAGTTATTAAACAAAAACTGCTCAAATTTAACAAACATTTTTGTGCACGCCTACATAAAAAGTCACATGAGTTATAGGTCTGACATTTTTATTACAGCTTCACTCAAGATTAAAAGTGGACCATTTTTAGTTTTTTGTAATTTGAATTAAAGATGGCTGATCTGGAGCAGCAAAACTACAAGATGAAAGGACATGAAGATACATAAGTATTGGTTAGGCCAAGCACACTACATTAGCAGTATCTAGCTCAAGTTTTCGAAAGAATCATATGGTTGGACAAATATTATCCATTGCCAACTTTTCAGCACAAATTTATTAAATGTTATGAAATTATCCTAATTAAAGAGCATTTAGCATCACATGATATTAGCTTAAGCAATTAGCACAAATAATGATGCTTGATTGTGTTTACTCATTGCTTTGGGGGGGGGGGCGTGTTAATCTAATTCCATGGCATTACTATAAGAGAAGCTATTAACACTATTTAAGAGAGGAAAAACTACCACCATACATATTTTTAAAAATCTGGTTGGTTCTGTAAAGTAAAAGTCTGTTCCAAATAATAGCTAATGTGGGTTACTACTGAATATCACTTTCTTGCTTGCTGTGGTTTGTTGGTGTGTATTGACAAAAAGTTATATCTAATAAAAAATACCTTAAGTGTGAAAAAAGGTGTAGCAAAAAAAAATAAATATTCAGTGTGCAACGTAAAGGAATGAAATCCAAATTGGCAAC